CAATGGTGGGACGAGGGTCCCCGGGACCCCCCCTCCCACAGCACCCACCCCGCTGCGGGCCCGCAATGGTGCCGGGGGGTCCCCGAGCCCCCCCTCCCACAGCACTCACCCCATTTCGGGCCCAGAATGGTGCTGGGGGGTCCCTGAGCCCCCCTCCTGCAGCACCCACCCCGTTTCAGGCCCAGACTGGTGCAGGGGGGTCCCCAAGCCCCAGAATGGTGCCAGGTGGGTCCCCAAGCCCCCCCTCCCCTTGGCTCCTTGGAGAGCCCAGCGGGAAGGGTTGTCCAAGCCAAGGCCTCCCTCAACCCCACGGAGGAAGGAGCCTCCCTGTGTCCTTGTGGCCTCCCCTTCTTCCCTGTACTCACTGCCCCGTGGACCTGCTGGTCGTGTCTCCCCGGCCCCCCCTCACCTGCTGGTATCAGGATCATGTCCTAACAGGGCAGCTCCTCACCTTCCTTTTCCCAAATTAACAACTGATCTGCCTATGCGACCTCCCCATTCCCACACCTTCACTCCCGGTGCTTCACCTTGGACCAAGCCATAGCCCTCCTGGCCTCCTCCAGTGCCTGCCAGCTCTCTGAGGAGCTTTACAACCATGAGCACCCTGGTTCCAGCTGGGAAAAGCTAAAGATGGGATATCCCCAGCTGGGAAAAGCTAAAGATGGGATATCCCCAGACCCTGTGAGGAGGCAGGAGCCTTTCCATTGCCTACCGGTGTCCTTCCCTGTGTGCAGAGTTGGCCTGTTCTTAAGTGGTGAAGATTTTGGGGCAAGCATGACCTGTCAAGGCACCCTCCTCATGCTCCCCTTGGAAGGGGGCTCCGAACACATCAACAGCACATCCAGGGAGCACAGGGTGCCCCCTCACCACCACCACCTGCCTGGTGGCCGGGGAAGGTGACACAAGGACATCAGAGCAGCCCCAGCGAGTCAGCAGCACCTGCCTCCTCAGGCCTCCGGCTCCACGTGATGACACAGATTTTGGGCCAAGGACATGGGACGTACATCCAAAGGGAGTCAGGATTTCCAGTTCAATCATTTTAACACCAAGTTAAGAGATCATGAAAAGTATTTCAAAACAGAATCTTCCCCATCACCACAAAGAGCCAAAGCACATTTGGTTAGAGTTGCACAAACCTTTGGTTAATACTGGTGGTGTAGTTTTCTAGCATGAACTTTCTGGATGTGAGCCTTTTCCACACCAAACCAGAGCAGGGTGCCTGCAACCACCGCCCTGTGTGACCCAGCACATGCTGAACCCTCTGGGGAACCAACCACCAACCAAGCATCCGTGGCTGCTCCGAACTATCCATGCCAGCCCCATGGCTCCTAGCGGGCAAGCGCTGGGACAGGGCACTGCTTTGGGCAGATGCCTCCCTTTCCTGTGGGATTTTTCCATCCATCCCTCTTGCATAGCAGCTATCCAGGGCAGGACGGGGGCAGGTTTTGGGGCTCGGGTCCGTCCTGCCCTGCCACGTCGGGTGACGAGCCTGCAACAAAGCGGCCGCTTCTGCCCGCTCCAGCAAGAGCCCTTCTAGCGCTCTGAGAATCCTTTTCATCCCGCGATCAATGAAGCCACTAGCCCCACGGAGCAGGGAATGCAGCTGGAAATACTGAGCGGTAGTTTAGCCGTTAGAGGAGATAAAAACACTTTAATGCATTCAGACCCCAGCCCGGGCATGGTATTCAATGAACACCCTTGTCATTTTTCCACTTTTTCTGCTGGTAATTTGGCTCCCTTAGCACGCAGGTGGCTTACTACAAGTGGGCAACTGAAAGCCATTCAGATATCCTCCCCCCCAGCACAATCAGCCCCGGAGTCTTAGAAGTCAGATCCAGAGTCTTCAGCATCCTAATCACATTAAAGAAAGCGCCAAAAAGGGAAAAAAAAAAATGCCCTCATGTATTACATGCCCTCAGATCAGAGGGATGGAAACCACGTGGGCATGGCACTGTGCACGCTTCCTCGGGGCCTCGCAGAGCTCCCTCACGCTGCCTGGATTTATTTTGACATTGCCCATTGGTCTCAGACCGAGCAACATAAAGGGGCCATATAAAAGAAGCTGCATCTTAGGCAAGAAAATTAAATAAAAATTAGCAGCAACATCCATCAGCCAAGTCAGCACTGGCAGGAAACAGCCAGGAATGAGCAATACCAGTCATCTTGCAGGAGCGCGGGAACCTAAACCCAGCCTCCGTCTCTCATTTTTTGCTACCTTGGACAGGTCTGGCTGGTTAGAGTCTCCCGAGATACTGACAATTTCATAGGCAAGGGATTAGCACTCCTCATTTGATCTTCTCCAGCTTCTCCACCTGGTGTATATTCTTAAACAATGCTTAGTGCACTGGTTTAAAAAAAATTAAAAAAAGAGAAATGAAAAAAAAAAAAAAGAAAAACTTTTTTTTTTTGCATTTGCACTATTTTTTTTTATAGTTGCTCTGAAACTGTTCTGTAAAGCAGGATTTTTCCCCCCCTCTGTATTGCCTTTGTCTGTGTTTTTCTGTTCTTCCTCCAAATTGTTCAGTTCATGGTTATGCCTATTATACTGAATCAGAAAGCAAGCGTGTATTTCAGGCTGACAAAACCATAATACCCTTCTGCTGTCTCCCCCCATAAGTTACCCAAACAGCTTTTGCCTTCAGGAATGTCAGCCAGCTTTCTGATTCCAATTTAAGGGTCATGTTTTGTTCCAAGGTACTAGCAAACAAGTATGACTGAGGAATGAGGTGATAGCTAAGGAAAAGAATTCAGTGCCTTGGACTCGCTAATTAAAAATAAATTAAATGCAAAGTCTGTTCTGAACAGAAGTCTAAGTTGTTTTGAAATTCCATATTAAAAATAAGAAACAACACATTATTTGAAATATGCTGTTAAGATGTTTTAGTAAAATTTAATTTACTCGCAAAATTTAATTTGCCTACAAAGGTGAAAGTAATCTATTAGCATTGCTCATTAGCATGAGCAAGAGAGAAAGCAAAATGAACCTGCTCTCAGATGTGAGGGTCTTGCAGTGTTAGAAATGCAAGATGTTAGTATCAGGAAAAAGATTTAACCCTTCCTTTTTCTTTGCATACAACATTTGCACACGGGATGGAAAAAATTATCCATTTTTTCCAATTCCAATCCATTTTTTCCAAATGCAATTCTGACCATTTTTAGGGCAGAATTAAAAATCATCTCGACCTCTGGGCAGCTTGCTTGGCTCTCTGCGAGTTTGGGGGAGTCTTGCAGCACCCCAAACACTTTAATCCAAACTGCTGCAAGGCTGCCCAGCTTTTTGGCATTCCCGGGGAGGCTCAAGCCTTGCCCTGCCAGGCCCTGCCCAACCCCTTCTTTGCAAAGCATAAGGAGAGAATTAACCTCCCCCTCTTTGCTGCACACACGTATTTATTTCAGAGTCCTCTGTAAGCATTTTATAAGCTTATTTGGTGACTTAGCCTTTTTAATGCTGTGACACTGAAATGCTTTGCCTGTACCACGCAGGGGCAGGTACCTGCTCTGCTCCTGCAGTGCTCGTGGTGTGAAGGGCTCAGTCCTTCCCACGACTGGGTACAGCCCAAAGCTTCTACGCTCATCCAAAAGCATGTGTGTACGGGAAAGATAATAAACCCTTTGGGATGAGGGACCTGGAGAAACAAATGCTTCCAGGATGTGCTGTAACTAGAGGGGAACAGAATCTGCTCTGTCTGGAGCCCAAGAGAAGAAGGGAGATTTTCTGTATCGTTTCTTACCTTCGTGCAAGAGCTTCCTTCCCCTGGGGAGCAGTTGGGCTGCCAGGGATGTCACTGGTCCTGCCTGTGTCCATCCCCTGCCATGAGCAGCAGCAGAAGGACGAGCACTAGCTGTTCTTTACTTCTCCTCCCACTTTCCGCTTGCCCCTGCTGCTTTCCATCCATGAAGCTGCACCTTTCTCTTTGCACTAAGGCAGAGGTGATGGCTGCATTAACAGCCATGCCCTTGCCCTGCAAAGCCCAGCAGGATCCCAGAGGAAAACAAAGTCACATTGCATTTGATTAAGGGGCTAGAATAAACATCCAACAGAGGCACCTGGGCCAAGGAACCAAGCATTTCTCCTGGTAAAAGCCAGGGCAAGATCCCTCATAGCCCAAGGAATGGGACAATTCAATGACTGGGATTTGCACTAGGAATCCAGATCATCAGACAAGCACAGAGCCAAGGTGGACAATCAGCCCTAGCAGCCAGGGTCACACATAATCCAGTAACAGAAGAAGGAACCACAGGAACAATAAGGAATAAATTAAACCCGGAAAGCTCACCTGGGAATTAAGGTGCAGATCAGCACTGCATGTGGCCAAGCAGAGCACCACTGAAACAGAGCAAAAAACTAGCACTCATACAGCATAGAACAGAGCAGCTGCTAAAAACTGAGCTTAACTGGGACTCTGGATTTATGAATGTGGGTAGGTTTAAAGGCCGCAGGTGAGACTGCACATTGCAATTGAAGTATATAAATGCATGGCCCGAGCATCCTAGAATTTTTTTTTCCTTGCCTGGAAAAAGGAGAGAGCATTAGGGTTATTCTGTATTTCTTCAAAGTGCTCCATGCTGGGCTATGGTCAAGGAGCCGTTTATGAAACTTAGAGAATAGCAAAGCCTTCAGGAGGCTGCATGCAGCACGCTGAAGTTAAATGGAGTCAAGAACCGGCCCCCGTGCCCTTTCCAAAGCCAGGTTGCTCTTCCAAGGCAGCCTCAGTGGGCAGTCAGCACCAGCCACGCTCCCAAGGGAATGGCTGCTAGCAGGGACACTGTTTTGAGGAACATCCCCAGCACCTTCATGGAGAAGTCCAGGTATTGCTGGTCACAGACAACCCTTGTTTCCCCAAGACCCTCGTCTCTGCTCTGTGTTAGAGGCACCTGCAGCACCCAAGAGCAGCAGGTTCAAACCTGCACCCGCGTCCACCTCACGCTGTCAACAGCCAAAATTTGCTCCAGAGAACCTGAAAGGCTGTGAGAACAGGAACATGCCTTCAGACCAGCACTAACGCTCCCTGAGCTGCTGCTGCTGCTGCCAACATCAGCGAGGCTCAGCTGCCAGGAGCCGCTGCTCCGCGGGACGCTGGCCGCACACTGAGGTGGGCAGTCACATCCATTTCTGGTGACTCCAACAGCAGCATCCCTCTTGCTGCTGCTCGTGCCCAGTGCCAAGCGATGGGGGTCAGAGCAAGGGAGGCTGAGGTCTGTGGTAGCACGAAACAGAAGGGTGACGCTCAAGAGCCTGGTCTGGTGATAGGGCAGACAACTGGGAAAACAGGGATTCCCACTTACTCCTTGCACTGTGTATTTGCTTGCGGTGCAATGACATGCTTGGCTGTGTAGCTAAGTGCTTGGGTCACCAGATACACAGCAGGGCCCTCCCCAAGCTGTGAGTGTTTCGGAAGTGCTGGGTATTTCTCTAGTGCAGCACTGGGCACCCGCACACCCGACCCGCGGGCAGCAAAGGGCCGGCTCGGCCAGGGGGACGTGCCAGGAAAGGGCCTCTGCAGCCCGTCTGCAGTGAGCCCGGGTAGACAGAGCCCAGTGGGAAGGGAAAAACAGCCAAAACAGTTAAACAAATACACAGGAGGGAGCTGGCAGACAGAGAAGGCAACACGCAGAGCCGGTTGCGGGCTGAGAGTCATGCGCTAAGCCCCCAGCCGGGTGCAAGCCCTGCTCGCTGCTCGCGTTAGAGCCACGCTGAGCGTGGACACATACCCAGAGCAGCGTGACAAACGCCAGCGTTCAACAACCAGGGACGTGGTCTGCTTGGCCAGGCCACAGCTGCAGCATCCCACTTACAAATCCACTCGAGCAAAGGTGGGAGGAGGCTGGAAGGAGGAATCCAAGTGGCAGCCAAGCCCTGAGATCAAGGCTGTCTGGACAGGGACTTGGAAAGGGAGGGAGGTCGGAGCTACACGCTGCAATGGGACGGCCTCAAGCTATGCTGCTGCTCATGGGAGAGTCCCACGGTGGGATTATTGCTCTGATGAGCAGTTAGGATGGGAAAAGATCCAGTGCAGCTACTGGCTGGGGATGGCAGTGCTCATCAGTCCTGTGGGCAACTATCTCACGGTATCCCTGCTCGGTGAGGATGGGCGACAGCTGAGACCAGCACAGGCAGGATCTATCCCCCTCCATTATCTCCCATGATTTCCCACATTTCCTATAATATCCAGAGCAAAGAAAGGATGGGAAGCCTAGGGTATTACATGTCTCCTGCATTAGCAAGCTGCTAGGCAGCTGGTACAGTGTCCCGGTTGCTTTCTTTTCTGTAGCTGCAGAGGTTTCCAGAAGAGACAGAAACAAGGGTATTGAAAATGAAATATATTTAAAATGTGCACAATAAGGGAATTTCTCGCCCACACATAGTCCACCCTGACCATCCTGAACAGTTCCAGCTCAAGACTGCTCCATCTCTCTCCAAAACACCACCACCATCCTCAGCACAGTGGGTAAGCTGAATAAGCTTGGATACTGTGGATAAGGAGGTGCTGGTCAGGTCAGGTACCAGCATTTGGATTCAGCTACAAATTCACATTTATACCCAGGAGCAGAGCTGGTATCCAATACAGGAGGAGAAGCATTTGCCCCAATGTTTCTGGATACTGCCTCAGGATGCGCTGCAGCAGCTTCCACTGCCCCCTCTATTATTAGAAACAGTTGTGCTTTATTTCCGTTCTCTTTTACCCCCTCTTTCTGCAGAAACCAAGCACAAGGTCAGCCCATGCAGGCACCTGGGGAAATGTCAAGTGTCAGGCACAAAGGCCTGGAGCTGAGAGGCTGGTGCTTCATGGAGAGTTGAAAGCAGTCTCAATTATCACCCAGCAGGCTGCAGTCGCCAGAGATGGGAAAAGAGAATCCCTGAGGGTGCTCGCAATCCAAGGGATAAGGCAGACAAATGCTTTTCTAATGACCCCTCTCTGTCCCTCCTATAGATGAGCCTGTAACAACTAGGAACAAGCAAAGAACAAACACGCCATCTATGTGGCCAGCAATTTTCTCCCCACTGGGCTCAGCTCTAAGGCAAAACAGTGACTGAAGTTGCTAAACAGACTTAGCTGGGCACTTAACTACTTAACTCTGTTCTATTTACAAAGTCTTCAACAGCTCAGCACTCCCTTAATCCATAAGGCACAAAACAAGCAGGAGAATGTGCAGCTTAGTCCCTCTGGATCATGATCTGCTTTGCAGCGTTCCCGAGCGAGCAGCCACACGGAGGATTTCTCTCCGGAGCGCGTGGCCGGCTCCAGCGGCGGCCTCAGAACTGCTGGACGATCAGCTTGCGCTTCGTGTCCCGGCTGAACCGGTTCATCCTGAACACTTCGCTGTCGTAGAAGGCAGAGAGGTTGTGGATGTTGATCTGCCGAGCCTGGGAGCAGCAAGGGGGGAATTGAGATTTATGAAAAAAAAAAAAAATTGGAACCATGTGGTTCTCCGTAGCAGCCGCCTCACACAATGTGACAGTCAGCAATCTCTGCTCAGCGGGAACCACAACTGCAGTAGCTGGGGAGGCTGTAGGTCAGGATGAAGGAGCATTGGCAGAGCTGAGCTGAGCAAAGAGAGGATGCTGGCTCAGCAGCTGCCTGCTCTCAGCTTGTCCTTTTGCTTCCACCAAAGCTAAAGCACAACTATTATTCAAGAGTTCAATTCTCTTCCCACTCCAGTGGGAGTCAGTTTTGCAGACCTTTAACTGGGGGGAGGTCAAGCAGGCAGGCATGAGGCTGGTGGCTCTGGAGGGAGCAGTTACTCTGCAGTTACTCTGCACGCTCAATACGGGCAGCAGAAAAGTGGGAACCAGGGAAGCAAATACTGCTCCATTACTAAGCAAGGTAAATACACTGCCAGGAATGGCACGAAGCCAGGAATGCATCCCCTGCACAGGGATGGGAACGCATGACAGAGAAGCATGAGCCCCAGTATTGATTGGGAAAGTTCACACAATGAGATTTTCTTCTCATTTTTTCTTTAAATCCAAGTGCCAGGGAACTCATGCCCTCATTCCCCTGCAAGCAACAGACACTCTGCAGGGTTTAGGCCCAGTCTCCTCACAAAGGGCTGGGAGTGCAGAACAGTTGAGGGGGGACAGGATGGCACTCCCTGACAGGATAAGGTAAAACAGCCCCATTTCTGGGTTGATTAACCCTAAGCTTTTCTGATGCCATAGCTCAGGAGGTGACATTGCAAGTTTGAGAGCAAAACCCTCTGGATGTGAGGCTGCAAGCAGAGAGCAGACACCAACCTACATAAGGTTTGTTACAAGAATCCCCTACCTTATCCACCAGGTCCTTTTCTGGGATTTCTATGGTGTCTTGCTGGGCCCCGTAGCGGTTTCTCTGGTACATCACCTGCTCTGCAATCAGCTGCTTCAGGATGAACAGCAGCAGCTCATTGTTGTCTCGCTTGAATGAAAGGTAACGGGAGAAAGTCTGGGAGGGAGGATGAGAGGAGCCAAGAGTTAGGAACCAAGTGATGGATGCACTGCAGGTCTTCTCTGCCCAACACCAACCAACCTCTCAAAAAGCACACGGAGAAGCAAATGACACCACTGTCACCTGCACTTATAATATCTCCTAAGGGCCTCGGGCCTTGCCAGGCTGCCACCTGCACACGCAGTTACACAACAGCCAAGACACTTTGCAGTCGAAGAGCGAGGCCACAAGTTGCCCAGAGTGAGGACAGGCTCTCAGAGGGGATAAGTGCCAGGCTGCAGCAGACAGGAGCTGCTCAGAGCCAGGTCCTGCCACCCGGAGTAAGGGGTAGACCCTTGTGTACCAAGCCACAGTGAGGGCCACTCTGCGGTTAACTGTCCTCTGAGGAACCCCAGGGCTGCATGCAGGAAAATAGTGAAGAAACTGGCTGCCTGCTTGTCTCAATAACCACTATCTGGCAGCGGCAATAGTGTCCTGTGACAAAGTATGAGAAAGGGGGGCAAAAGAGGAGAGCAACTGCAGTGTTTGGATACAGAGACACAGGACACCCTTCATGCATCACCTCAGTCTCAACAGAGCACAGCTCCTCAGAGAGCTACATGCCCCACCAGAGACTAATGAAGAGCTGCCACGAGGCAGCGCCTTCAGGCTCTCAATGCTCTATTTACACAGGGTCACCACCTTGCCCTGTAGGACACGACCATGCTGGGCCTGGATGAGTCCCTTGGCACGGCTGCAAAAGCCAGGGTCCCTTTCCAAAGAGGCTGCAGCTGAAGCCACGGTGCCTGGTGTGCAGCTACAGCCCATGAGAGATGCACAACCCCCTTGAGAGATGCAACACCCACCTTGCGCATGCTCCGCATGACGCTGAACTTCTGCGTGTCAATGAAGCTCTCCAGCATGACGCGGATGGCCATGTTGACATCATCTTCCACCACGTAATCCCGCAGGTGCATGCGGGCATGGGCCTCCGCCATCCGGATCATCGACTCGATGTGCCGCACTGTGATGGGAATGCTGCCGGTCGCCTAAGGAAAGAGAGGAGGGAGTAGCTCCTTACTGCAAAACAAAAGGCATGGGGCTAGAAAGGTGGCTAGCCTGGCTCAGAACATACTTGCCACCATACAGAGTTATTCCTGGGTTTTTGAGACCTTTTCCAGGCTAAGGAGGTTCTGCCATCTGCTGGCACATCTGCACAGAGCAGCAAACACTCACCAACATTTTTATTCAATTCAGGGAATGCTGCTCTGGGTCCCTCTATGTCGGTGTTTACTGTCTTGCTGGGCACAACAATCCCATTACCTACCAGAGAGTTAAAGGAACACAGAAACCTAATCTGCCCAAGTTCAAAATATTTCCCTCTGACCTTAGCAAATTCCTCTTTTTTGGAATAAAAGGAGGAAACATAAAAGAGATCCCAAGGACAAAAGGCAAGGGTGTTCTCTTCTCTTCTGCAGAACGATTCTCTGTAGTGCACCAGGAACATGTGGGGCTGAGCTAACACTGTTATCTCCCACAGGCCTGCCAGACTGAGCCACAATAGCAGTCACTTGTACACGTGTCCAATCCATGGATTACTAACATTAGATGAAGAATGAGCGATTCAGCAGACACTGCTGGATAGGCAGACCAAGCAGTGTCTGCCTATCTCACAAAAAAGGCAGCACAGATTCTTGTGACGTGAATAGCTAGAATGCATCAACCTGTGCTGGAGGAGCCTGCGGCTGATTCGCACTCCGGACACATACTTGCTCCCTGCTTTTCTCAGCATCCTCACCATAGATTCTTTCCTGAGGTCACTGTACATCCGGGCCACCTTGTCCTGGTCCATCTGGTTGAGTTTGGGGTGGACCTTCTCTTTGGCATAGATGATGTATTTCCTCAGGATCTCTTGTGGAATGGGTTCAACTCCGTATGTGTTGGGAAGGATCACCTCATCGGCATCCCCATTCACTGCCTCCTTACTCCCTGGATGGTGCTTGACATGGCTGCCCACAACAAATCGGGCAAGCATTTCATCCTGCAAGACAGCAGTGGAATAACAGGAAAAAAGTCACTCAGTGGACAGCAAAACACAGTGACCATTTGCAGCTGAGCATCTCAGCAGCATCACCATGAGTCCAACACAAGCTCAGGATCATAGCACAGCCTGTACCTGCACAGGGTCCACAGTGTCTCTCACCACACACAGGATATCAAATCGAGAGATGATGGGCTCTGTCAGGTCTACGTTCTCCGAGAAAGTCAACGATGGGTCGTATCGCCCACCTGGATCACAAAGACAAATCTCAAGGTCAAACATAGACTCCAAGGGTGAAGTGTTGAAGCAAACACAGACCTCCTGCACAAGTAGCTCTTATTGCTTCTCTGCTCCAGACTGGAGAAACCAAGCAGAGGCAAGGGAAGCAATGATGCAGTTGTTGTGACAACTGACCGATGATAGGAGGCCTGAGATGGTCCTGTCCTTCTCCAGCACTTACCTATGGGATTAGCAGCAGCAATTACAGTGCAACGGGCTTGCAAGGATGTGACAATGCCTGCTTTGGAAATGGAGATGCTTTGCTGTTCCATGGCTTCGTGGATGCTGGTCCTATCCTGATCATTCATCTAAGAGAAAGCAAGACAGGACAACCTGAAGTGAATCTCTGTCTACATCCAATGCACCAAGAGGAGTTAGCTCGTGTGGGAAGCTCTGAGAAGACAGCACACTACATTATGCATGAGCAAAGGGGCTAACCAAACCACAGGAACCATAGGGGATGGTAGCCTCAGTTACTGTCCCTCCACACTGCAGAGGTCCAATCCACGCACAGCTTGGCCTTCCCACAGAGACCACACAGCTGGGACTCACCTTGTCAAACTCGTCGATCAGGCAGACCCCTCTGTCAGCCAGCACAAGGGCTCCTGCCTCCAGAGTCCACTCCTTGCTCACTGGGTGCCTCTGGACATAGGCTGTGAGACCCACGGCAGAGGCGCCCTGGCCAGTGGTGAAGATGGCTCTGCTTGATGCCTTCTCTATGTACTTAAGAAACTGGGATTTCGCAGTCCCAGGGTCACCACACAGAAGCACGTTGATGTCACCACGGACTTTGTGCTTGCCACCTATAGCAGAAATGGGAGAGACACAAAAGCAGCTGAGTCCCCTGCATACAGCTTGACAGAAACTCTGCCCTGGAAGCCACACGGCTGAAGGGAACGCAAAGAACAGGCAGGGGAAACACTCTGCAGGGAGGCTGAGGGAAAAATCAGCTTTGGATGTTGTGACATTTTGTTACAGCTTACAGCACCCAGAAGGACCAAAGTAACAAAGGACAAAAGTTGGTAGCACATGAGCATGCAGAATCCAAAGCAGAACTTCTTTACTTCCCAATGCAACTGTATAAAGTACAGGTTTGAGAAGCAGCATTTCTAACCTCACTGAACATTTCTGGGAAATCAAGATGCCAAAAGATCGAGCCTTTGCAGGGGCATAAAACCTGACCCCCTAGAGCTGGGGGGAGGGAGAAAAATTTGCCCAGGTTTGCAACAGGAGCTGTTTTCAGTCTTAGCGTTTCAACTCCTACACCAAGTTTGTAGTGTGATAAAAACTGTCCTTTCCATGGCAGATATCCCTTAGTCTGCTACGTCGTCTGTCACCAAGACATACAGACAACTCACTGCAATAGCACAGACAACCCCAAATCCACTTGCTTTCAACTCAGTGAAGCATCACCATGTGACAACAAACACAAGTGACACCCACCTGGATTTTTGGGCTCCCCACCAAACAGAGCTAAAGCCAAGCCTCTCTTGATATCTTCATGCCCATAAATAGATGGGGCAATGCTGGCAAAAATCTGAAAGGAAAACAGGTAGGTTATCTAGAGAATAGCATTCCTCAGTCTGGACACAACATGGTATGAAAAGCATTAAGGGGCAGTACCTACAGTTCCCTTTAGATACTGCTCTTTCCAAATGGTTCTTTAACCACTGAGAGGGTGATATTTCAGATTTAACCATCTATCCAGTGTCCTACTAAAGTTGCTTCAAAAAATGGTGCTGTAGGACTACTGGAGGTTATGAGATCTCATGCTGGAAACTCCTAACAGTGCTTTCATACCGCTGTTGTGCAGAGCTCACTGGAGAGGCCGTGCCTGTTATCAGGTGTTGCTAACCTGGAGACCTTGATTCAATTTGAGATTTGCTGACTGAACAGGAGAGCAGCTGGACGCTCTGTGCTGCACATGATTTGCCATCATGGTCAAGCATTCATTATTATAAACTACTGATGTACTTTCTCAAGGGTGTTTTGTTAATATCCCGATGCTGGAGTCTACTGATTTCAAACCAGTCCCGGCTCAAATGAAGCTGCTGCACCCACAGGAACTGCACAGTGAATAGTGAAGTGTGTGACCAAGGCAGCAGAATGAGGTCCCCACTCCAGAGAGCCTAACCCACTGCAAGTGAACTCTGTCCTTCCCAGTACAGGATCCAGGTCTTTCCACAGAGAAACAAAGCTAAAACTTCCACACCTTAAGCTAATAACATCCATTTAAAGGGATTGGAGACACAAGTATCAGTTCCTCAGAACTCTTCCTCTCCTTTTGCTTTCAGGATATGGAGAAAGGGAATAATAATCATATATATAGATGGGGTTTGAGTGCCTTCTGCCCTACTCATAGAAAGAGACACACAGAAAATATGATCCCAGAAAGTACAAGGAGATGCCAGCCAGAGGATGCCCTACACTCTTCCTTCCTGTAACTCACTCTCACCAAGAGCTGTTTGAGAGCTACAAAGACCAGATGCTTTCAGACAGGAGTGGGATTTCTAGAAGTTCCTCTGACCACTGTTTCACCAGCTGATGGTGATGCTATGTGACAGCAGGCTGGCCACAGGAAGAGGCCTGTTTGAGGCTGACTCACCTTCTCCCCAATTTGCTCGTCTTTGGAAAGGCCCACAATCACTTTCATGTCCTCATCCGTCAGCTCCCCGATGGCCAGCTTGTTGTCCTTCTTGGCAATGTGGTTGGCCAGTATAACAGTTGCAAACACTGGGAACCCATTGGCAGTGTTCAAGGAGCCGTCGTAGTTGTTGTGATAGATCCCCGTTAGCTCCTTGAAACCAAGAGAGGATGTGTCAGTTCCCATGCAGAATAGAACAGCTCCTCTTTCCATCTTAGGATACCAATCTCGAAAACAGCTGTCCAAATGTGATTGAGAATAACCCCTCCCCAAGTCTCTTCTGGATATAACTATCCAGGACCCTGTGATGTTGCATTAATAGCATGTTTGAAAATGCTCTAGGTCACCTCATTTGTAATGTCAACAATTTACTCACAATCTCATCTCCTGGCTTGCAGCTGTCAACCAGATCAGCGAGGAGAATGGCATCCTTGGAGCGGGGCAGCCTGCCCGCAGCCACCTTCCCAGGGCTCTCCTGGATTTTGATGCGCTGATAGTTCTGATAGACTGTCTGAAACAACAAAATAAAAGTTACTCAGCAAGTCTGGCCAGCATCAGCAGTGCTGGTGCTTCCCAAACGCACCTTACTGTGAAAGGTTCATTCAAAGACTGACCTTGGATACTAACTAAGGGCATGAAAGGACAGAGGTTTGTAGGAGCAAATCTAGGGTATGGGGACCACTGTGGGGACGGTGAAGTTCTTGCCACATCTGGCCTCTGCATGTCAGCCTCCAAGGTCCACTCAAGTCTTGGACTGGCTCCTGAGGGACACCATGCTTGTAATGATCAACAACATCACAGCAAAAAATGAAAGCCAGAACCACAACATTATGATTTTGTTTCCTTAACTGACAGGTCAGGGAATACGGACTGTTAGGGAAGGAGCAGAGCTGGGTGCTTTGTTTCTGCATTTCTACAATACTGACAGGTCACTACGTACCACAGAGAGGAATGTGGCAAAAGATTCAGCTCAAACACTTATGAAGAGACAGTAAAGGACTTCTGTGTACCAGATCAGGCAGATTCAGGTCATTAACTCAAACTGGCAGGATCTAAGCTCTGCATTTAGCATCACTGTCCTCACAACACGAAGCTTGTTCACAGGGAGAGAGCCAAGGCCAGGTGGGAATAACAGGCAACAGAGCAGCTTCAGCAGGACAAGCAGACAACTCTGTCTAGGCGAGAAGCTCCCAGGTGCCCACATCTCTTACCTCTTCCATGTTGATTTCAAAGGGACCAAGAGACTGACACTCTGGACAGGAACCAGGTTTCACCTCCTGGTTCTGGGACTGGAAGAAGGGTCCCAGGATGAAGCTGCACTTGCTGCAGTTGTATTTGACCATGCTGAGCTGAGGCAGGACCCCTGTGCAACTCGTCACCACCCCACTGGTCCGGATCAACTGATTCAGGTGCAGTTGCCTAAGGAAAGACAGAGAGATGCTGGATGCTTGCAGAGATAAGAGAAGGCAGATGACTCAGAAGACATTCTTGCTACAAGGCACAACTGATAGAGACTTAATAGGTAACAGCCATCAATAAGAGTTTTCTCCTGAGGTTTATGTTTTACCTTTGGGGATACTGGAAGTTAATCCTTAATCTTGGACTCAGTCACCTCGATGGACCTACCCAGGGCTTTACCAGCAGTCGAGCTCTCCTGCACTGTGACTCTGCTGCTTACCTGAGTGACCGCAGCTCTTCCACGAGAGGCAGGTGGGAGATACGGACATGGATCTCCTGAGCAATACGATCATATTTGGGGTACATGGCCAGCACCACTTCCTTGGCTGCTTCGTCAAAGATCTTCAGCATTTCTGCTGGGGCCTCAGGCAGAAAGTAGGCAAGGACATGTTCCTGGGCAGCCAGATCTTCGTAGTTCACCACCAAGCTCTCTCTGTTTTCTGGAGAAAAAGAAGAGGTAAATTTTATTTGCACACCCCTTAAGAGTCTGCAGGGGACCAGACGAGACAAGCCTGTTTTTGCAAGTTTTGCTGATGTTTACACCTCCATGAAAAACATATGCAGAGGTAAAGACATAGAAATGTTGTTTTATGATCTTTTTTTTCTGCTAAATTCTTTAGCAGTATGAAACTTCTATTCTTCTTCCCCAGTTCAGCACAGGTATTTCCCAGGTTCAGTGTTTCTAAGACTAAGAAGCCTCACTTCAACACATAACTCTACCACAGACCTCCAATAAGTAGAAATTAACAGGAGAAACAACTGTGCTGAATTGCTGGCAAAAAAACTCTGGTCTCTTTATGTTCCTGGGAAGAAACAAGACAAAAAGCTTTTATTTTCTTGCTGCACAACACCGATCCTGATCTAGCACTAAGGCTTCTGAGCTTTTGCCTCAATATAAAGAAAAAATGCAAGAAGCTACAGTTACATCAACAGTTCTCAGATGTGACAATTTCTGTTTTAAAATTTATCAGTGACAACCTTAAGACTGCTGCTTTTGACAGTTCCTGCTCAGAATACATGGCTGCAACACTGACATCATTTTAGAAGTCACAAGGTCTACATCCCCTCCCTGGGTAATCCAGATTCCAGTGTGAGAAAGTAACTGGCACAAACAACAAGTAATTGTTGTCTCTTTCAGATCATGAGCTTGCAGACCCCTGTCTGCTGCCCCACATTTTTGCCAGTGTTTGTATGGTATGAATAATTAATGAGTAGGAGGTGCCGAGGGCCTTATAATTAGTAAGCCAGAATCAAAGAAGACCATAGAGATGCTTCCGTTATTCATTTATGACCATCAGCATCAGTTTTTTAGAGTGCTGACTCAATGTCTGGGATAAACAGGGCAGGCAGATAAAACTCACTTATAGCCTGGTTCACTGGAGAGTATTGCAACCCACATAAAGAGAAGAGTGCCTGTAATCACCAAGCTCTACCTTTACACATGTCACTGATCCTCTCCTTGAAAACATTGTGTCCATGGTCATCCACGTGGGTCTTCAGGAAGTTCTTGAAACGGTGGTAGATCTCAAGTCGGGGAGCTGCCATGGAAACCCACTCCCTCACCGAGTGCCCCTTCATGTCTTCCAGATTCTCAATGCTCTCTATCATATCTTCATCCTCCTCTTCCACGCCATCGGCAGCCCGCTCTGCCAGACGCCTCTTCCGTGAAGGACGGTCTTCATCTTCATCGTCACTATCTGAGGGTGGGGAGAAGAAGCTAGTCAGAGTTGGGATTCCCATTCCCACTCCTTGGTCTAGTCACAGTTGAATTTTACAGGCTTTGGGAGCAAAGTGGTAGGTCAAAGCCTGGGATACAAACTGGGAGCCACTCCAGGCTCAGCCACGCTCAGTCTCATTCCTAGACTGGCTCCTACATGTTTCATAATGTAGCTATAGACCTTATTGGGTGGGAAAAAGAATATTCTTACTCAACAGCACCCACAAATGTACATTAATAGGTTGAAGGAGGAAGACCTGGACTTCCAAGTGCAGTAAATAAAGGCCCTCCCAGGCAACCACATGAGTCTCTGCAGGAGCAACAACCCCAGCACTCCCCCCACAGCATCTGCTCGGTACAATCCCAAACCCTTGATGGGGACCCTGGGGCTGGGGCCCAGGGCAAGGGGACCCTGACTCTATTTCAGCAGCAACCAGAAGCTCAAAACAAAGTGATGATGTCCAAGGGAGTCCAACCAAATTAATCTACAAACCCAAATGTACTCTGAGCTACTGGAGCTCCAGAGTTCTCCTTGCCTTTCTGATGGTGAGTGACCAGCGCCCAGGCTACAGGGAGCCCCAGAGCAGCAGCTCCCCTGCAATCGCTCCCGTACGTACCGTAGAGCAAGCCTCTCCTCATGCGGCCCATGCCGCGCTCCAGCTCGCGGTCCCGCTGCCTCATGGCCCGCTCGGCGGCCTCCCGCTGGCTGGCCGTCAGCTCCTCCACGTCCTCGTCGTCCAGGGCCAGGCCCTCGGCCTCGTACACGTCCAGCTCCGGGATGGGTCGGTAGTCCCTGGCATACACACACAGCACCCAGTTACGCTGGGGTCTCCTGCTCATCCCTGGCTGCTGCTGCATGGGTGTCGGTGCAGATGTTTTGCAGCAACATGTTCAGCCGTTTGCAGATGTTCAGCAACAAAAAGCAATGTTTTTGCCTGCAAGAGCCCGGTGGCTGGCTGCACGCGCCCCGCGCAAGCCCATCTGGGGACGATCCAAGTTTAACCACACTGCAGGAAATGGCATTTAGCTCCCAAGCAGCAAATTGTTGTTTTCCCAGGAGTTGGTTGCACTGTCACCCTGATCTCTCCCCACTGTCCTGCAGCTCCTTGGGGCAGGCACCAGCAGACCCCACCATGGGCCATGTCACCAGCTGCATCCAGGTCCCCTCTAACAACTCCCGTCCCCAAGCACAACCGCCGGGGGCTTCCTCACCTCTCCATCCCTTCGCCGATGAGCTCTTCGCCTTCCTCCTCCTCCTCGGGGAGCCCCTCGGTGCCCAGGAGCCCCTCGGACTCATCCTCGAAGGGCGGCAGGTCGCGCCCGGGGCTCGACGTGTAGGGGTCTCCGCGGCGCGAGCTGCGCACGGGGCTGGTGGCCGCGGCCTGCGACTCGGGGGAGTCCTGCAAGGGCAGCGGGTGACGGTGGGCGACCACGGCTCGGCGCGGCCACCCCTGCACCCCGCGCAAACGGCAACGGGGAGGCGCGGAACGGGGGCGATAAATCCTCAAACTCTAAATGCAGCCGGAGCGGGGAGGGAAAGGCTCCGGTCCCTGCCCCGCCGCCGGCCTCCGGTGCGGGGACCGGGGGATCTCCCAGGGCATTTTGACTGTCCCTTCTGGACGGTCCCCCGCCTGCCCCCAGCGGGGTCCGAGCCGAACCCGCGCGATGGGATCGGCGCCGCACCGCGAGGCTGCCCGCGGGATCCGATCCGATCCAACCCGACCCGGCTCCATCCGGCCCGGCCCGGCCACTCACCGCCATCGTCCCTGCCGCTTCTTCTTCTTCCTGCCGCAGCCGGATTCCGCGCGAAAAAGAGCCACGTGGTCAGAAAAAGCGCGCGAAACCTTATTAATAATGAATAGACCACGCCCCACTTCGTGAATATGCATGAGGTGCCTGGGCGGGAGGGCGGAGCTCGCCTGAGGGGAGCTGGCGGGTCAGGGAGGGAGTGCAGGGGACACTCCATCCCGGGACACCCTATCCCGGGACAACCCATCCCTGAGGACACCCCATCCCTAGGGACACCCCATCCTGGGACACCCCATCCTGGGACACCCTATCCCAGGACACCCTATCCCTAGGGACACCACATCCCTGAGGACACCCCATCCCTAGGGACACCACATCCCTGAAGACACCCTATCCCGGGACACCCCATCCCAGAGGACACAGGACACCCAGCCAAGGGCTGTATTGAGGGCCCACCTCAATACACCGGACAGGAGCCAGTGACTCAGAGCGTTGTGGCCTCCATGCTCTGAGGGGTAGTGTGAGCCCCGCTTGGCCCCACCTGGACCCCCAGTACAGCCGTGGTGGGATGTCACCTCCCCAGGGAGTGCTGGCACCTTCCCCGCTTCCCACGCCACATCCCCAGGCTCTGGGGACGGGGGGCCTGGCCATGCGCCGGCATTCCCATGTTGTGCATGGGATCGATCCAGCGACATCCAGGGTCCTGCCGCCCAGCTGCTCCTGCCAGGCTGTCACGCCAGGAATTTGAGTCAGGGGATAGATGTGGATGTCAGCTGGCAGGCAAATAACCAAGCTTTTGCCCTTTTTATTTCAAAATCACTCTGGCTTGGCCAGGATTGCACTGGCTCCTGTGAAAGCTGTTCCAATCATCTGTACTCCACACAGGGTCACAATTGCAAGGGTGGGAATTACAAGGGGCAGCCACAGCTGCTGAGTGCCTGCACAGAGAGTGGTGCCGCTCCGGACAGCAAGCAAGGAGGAGCACCTGTCCCAAAGAGCAATTTTGAGATACCAAACATACGTATGGGCTGCTGCTTGTCACAGGCATCAACTGGAAAAGTGCTGCTTTGCAGCTACAGGCTCTTCCATAACTGCAGATGGTTTGGATCCTGGAGAGCTATCTTCTCGGAAGGGTATCTGACAACCTTTTAATATCAGGGAGCGCTTCTGCACTGGGACATGGAATGTGGGACAGCAACACTGGAGCAGGAGGCACCAGAAAATGAGTGACTAAGGAGCCAACCACGGAACTGAAATGCCTCTTCCAGGAGCCCCTGGGGTGATTCAGCCTGGTACTACTACAGCAAAGCAGAAACCTCATGATATAGATATGAGAACGGCTCATCCTCATCCCCTGCGTGCCACCGTCTGCAACCAGAGGCCCCGTGCACGAGGAATGCCTCTGCTCTTAGGGATCACCATGGCCTGTAAGCAGCAGCACCAGAGTGCCAGCGAGGCGGGTGCTGTCTGACATGCCCAGGTGACAGGCTGCGATGACACGGCCTCGCCGCGGGGTGCCACCCTCTGTCCAGGCACAGCATGGGCACCTCTTCTGTCCCATCTGTCCAGCCTCCTTTCCCAGGACCCGGCGGCCGTGTTTTCCCCGCTCTGAGCTCTTGTGCTTGAGGCGGGCTGCTCGGCTTGGGTTTGCTGAGTTTGGGCAGCTCAAACTGCCAAACGCTCGGGCAGGACGTGGCTCCACTCTGCTGTGGAGCTACGCAGGGTCCTGCAGGAGCTGTCGGGGTGTTCAGCATCAGGCTTCTGACCCTATCAAAACACGTCACTTGGACTTTGCAAACCTGCTGCTGCAAGTCGCAACGGCCGAGAGGACGGGATGAGCACTGGGGAGTGAATTCCTGCTGCGCAGAAGGGCAGAGACACAGGAATCCAGCCCAAGTTGTGTCCTGTGGAACAAATTTATGCCTAATAATAGAAACCAGTACTAAGTAGAGACAACATGACCACATCTGTCTCTCCAGTTGCTCAGCACCTGCATAGCAAAGCTGTTCGGGCCAGGAAATAATATCCTGTCCAGCAGCCTAACCCAACACAAACAGGAAGAGTATTTTAGAGAGATAAGGTGTCCTAGCAGAGTGGAATTTGGCAAAGATATGAGAGCACAATACTGTCCTAGAAGACGTGATCGCACTTGCTGCCTCTGACGAGTGCAAGTCAGGTGAGTGCAAGGGACGGCAGACTGGAGGTAGAGCATCAAGTGCCAGCTCTCTTCAAAGTCCTCAATGTTCTAGTGTTGCTGCCAGATATCATCTTTTGCCTTGCTTCAGTGTAGCAACACCGTGAGTGATGCAGCAAGGATGAACTGGGAGATCCTTGGCAGCACAAGGCAGGGAGAGGCTGTGGAGCACAGCAGCTCTCAGCTGTGCAACCAAGGAGACGGGGCAGTGTCGTGAGCTGGGAAGTTCAGAGCTGTGTTTGCATATCACAGAATCCCAGGATGGTTGAGGTCGGAAGGGACCTCTAGGGATCATCCAGTCTAACCCCCTGCTCCAGCAGGGACACCCAGAGCACGGGGCACCCGGTCACATCCAGGTAGGTTTGAAGACCTCCAGAGCAGGAGCCTCCAGAGCTTCCCTGGGCAGCCTGTGCCAGGGCTCGGGCACCCTCACAGTGAAGAAGTTATTCCTCATATGAATTTCCTTTATTTCCTTTCCTAATCTTGCCCCATTTGCCCCAGTTATCCCCCTCTTCGCCTTCCTGTACATCTCCCCTCTCTGCCTGGTATTTCTGCTTCCCAACGCCCCTAATTAGGTGCCACGGTTCCTGGGGCTGCTCCTTGCCGGCCGAGGTAGTTCAGCCAACAGGAAACTTCCCTTGGACGTGGAGCTCCCAGGCTCTTAATCATTCTCCGGCGGGGAGGTGACTGCGGGATCCGGCCGGGAAGACAATCATTAACCCGCCACCTCGCAGGAAGCGGCTCCTCCACCGGGGCAGCTCAAACCCCGCGTTTTCTCGTGTGTGGACACGCGTGTTGACGCGGACGCCTGGGCTTGGGGGGCCTCTGCCCCTGTGCTCGTGACACCCCGAAACTGGCACGGTCTCATGGGCTCGCCCGGAGCTCTAGAGGTAAGAGTGTACGGAAGAGCTAACGTGTTTGCGGCCAATATAGCCACAAACCGCCCATGATGGTGGTCAAGATGGTCGAGATGGGTTTGGGTGGAGGCCAGGTCTACCCGGCTGGTGTCCCCTGCGTAGCCCTGATCCGCGGGCAGCCCGAGGTCCTCAGCCCCGGGGCAGGGTGAGGATGTTTTCTTCCTCACACCCATTTTGAGGCGGGAAGGGCGGCCCTGCGCCCAGCCGCGGCCCGCTCGTGGTAACGCGGGGCGCCGCGGCCTGCACCGCGCTGCTCCCCACAGCGGCCCCTTTAACGCCCGGCAGGGCTGCCCCGCAAGTCCCGCCTCCCGCCGCTTCCCATTGGCAGGGGCGGCTGTTTCTTTGGGCCTCTTTGACCAACGCTCGCGTGGGGGCGGCCTTTGATTGGCCGAAGCGTCACCCCTCCCAGGGAGCGTGTCCCAAGAGCGCGGCGGGGCGCGGGCGCGCAGAGTCCGCGCGCTGCCCGGCGCTGCCGCGGGCTCGCTCTTCCTCGACGCTCCCTGCGCGAGGGGAGCGGCCGGCCCGGGGGCTGCCATGGCGGGGCCGGGCCCCCGCGCC